AAAAAAAAAAAAAAAAAAAAAAAAAAAAAAAAAAAAAAACATAAGATGATATAATAAGATCAATTTCTTCCATTTGTTTCAATAGATCATTTTTGCAATCAACAAATTTTACTATCATTCAAATCTTTCTATCATTCTTTTTACAGCAAATTAAATAAATAATAAATAATAAATTAATAAAATAACAATAATAAATAATAAATTAATAAAATAACAAATTAAATAAATAATAAATCGTTTATAATAATTTGTAATAAAAATAGACTAAATTTTGTTTGTCTTTCTGCATGAATAATAATTAAAATTTATATACTGCAAAAATATTTATCCGAATACTTGAAATATAGTAAATATATAGGGTGTTCCATTTTTATTTTTCCAAACGGTGTCTGTCAACATGTACCATGAATAAGAAAAAAATTCTATATAAACATAGAGTCGTATTTATTATATAAAGTTATATATATAATATATAATATATATTATATATAATAAAAATATATATATATATATTATATATAATAATATTATATATAATTTTATTATATATATATATATATTATATATAATAAAAATACCAAAGTAATAAACGATTGATTTCCCGTTTGAATGTAAATGTTGTCAATATTTAACTGTGTTGAAGAGGTGAGTAACAGATTCAATTTATCACCAATGTCAATTTTGTATTGACAAGAACGGATAACTTATATATCATTATAATATCATACAAAAACATTTAGTTTGAATATTTCATATTATATGTCTTCTATAGAAACTTGCATTTCAAATTTTTCACAGATGCATAAAAATTTACATTCTAATTATTCATCACCTCTTATTTATTTTCATCATTGTTTATCCAATGAATCAAATACTTTCAACCAGATAGAATACTTATCATTTTGGTTGTCGTTATCTCAAATTCCATTGACACGATATAAAGATAATTCGATAGGCCAAGTGTACTAACATTATTTTAAACAGATATAGTTACATGGTGTTATGATTATTCATTAATATTTTCAATTGATAGTTTAATCTATGTTTTTATTATTAACTTCGGTTTATCAAATCTTTTTTAATAGTTCATTTCTTTTAATCGAGAAAATGCCCATTGATTTATGAATTAATTTTCTGCGTGATTAATAACATTTAAACAATTAATTAATAATATTTAAACAATGTTAACATTAATAAATATCTGTAAATCCAATTAACTTTTGATATGCGAACTTTCATCACTGATGAGAGTTCAAAGTACAGGAATTTAGACTTTGTCAACTAATGATGATTATATAACCGTAAAGATAAGTTTGTAATTAATCATTCTATTATTCCAATGACGAAAGAAAGAATTTATTGAACAAGTTTCAATCTCGAAAAAGACCGTTTGAACAAACTATTACATAATCTAAATTGTCTTACTATACGAATGTTGCTGCGTAACGTTCTATAGATACATTTAAAGTGTACTACGATTACACAAACATTCCTCTAAATGTCGATAATAATTGTTTCTACAAATTTTTCATTGAATTTCATCTTTTGATGAATCTTATAATAAATAACAAAGTTATATTAAAAATATTAACTATAAGTATTATTGCAGATAAATGTATATAAAAATTTATATCGTTGTAATTTACATTTATATCGAACGATATAGCCACAGTTACGTAAGTTTGTTTTAACTATTTGTTCCTAGACAATAAGAGAAAAGAAAGAAGGACTGGGAAAATGTTTGAAAGAACTTATAGAATTTAGCATTTCAGCATTTGCAATGTTTTTGAATCTTAAATTATTATTAATATTCCCATATTTATCGTATATTTTTTGAACTGATAGAAATAATATTTATCTGGATTCTATGTCGATATAACATACCACACGCATATTACATCGTCTAATTCTGAAAGTCGAGGTAAAGAATGCATATTTTGTTGGAGCTGTTTTACATTCTAATTTGCAAACATCATTCCGCCAGATAGAGATTCCAGTATATCGAGCTAGAGAGACTTTCGTGTCTTATTGTGTCTCTCGAGTGGCACTTCAAGGTCTACCTTTTGCGTGGATATACGCATCAATTGCGACGCAATAGTGAAAAGGTTTATGTATGTGCAGCATACATTGATAGAATTTGTGAAATATCAAAGTATATTTCTTTAGATTCTCTTTTTATTCTGGCATATGTATCATTTCTATCATATCTACCTATTCGTAATGAAACTTTTGCGACAATTCTTCGAAGACAAACTGATTTACTTAATAGGTCAATCAGTTTTACATTTTCATTTGACGCGACATTTTACGTTGAAAGATTCCTTTACTACGGGAATACACTCGTCAGTTTATCTGTGCTCGGATTGTTCAATTTTCGATCAATCGATTAAAAAACACACACACACACACACGCAATTGTATTATTGTTCCGCATGCCAGGGTGGAGTTTCTTGAATCGCGCGTTTGGTATGTTTCTATTGAAACGTTGCGGATAACGCTGTAGCAATGAATTCCGATTTATCGTATAGCAAATTCCATTCGGTTCATATACGCCTGTTAGTGTAAAAGTATAGCAAGCACGATAAGTTGTTATTCTCAATGATAAAGAATAATGGTTCTTCAAATTATGTAGTTGTCGCAAGAACGTCTGCCGTTCGAACAGCTAGAGCGCGCTCGAGCGAGCGCAAGCTAGCAAAATGCGAACCACGATCTGTCATTATGAGTTTCACGATACATTATTACCGGCAGGTGATGGGATACATACATGTACGAAAGAAATACAGAGGTACTTACCCTTCTGCTTACGCCACTGTCTGTAAAGGAGTGCAGTAACCAGCAGCAGGAGAATCGTTGTGAAGAAAGTACCGATTACAGCCCCTGCCACATTTCCTGCCCCGAAACAGGTATCCCGCGGCTCGTCCTCCATTGCTCCTTCTTAAACTCTTCTCTTCAATGCATTTCCAATCTGGCTGCTGCAGCCTATCCACTGTTTCTTCCTTCGGGCTGGGAACCTTCGAACGAAACCAGGCTTTCCACTGTTTATCGTGATTCGATTTGACGTGCACAAGGAGACATTATTTTCACTTTGTTGAAGTCGTTGCCCTTTACCAAAGAGTCAGCACCGCGATCAGAAACCGTCCTACTGCCGTCGCACCGTGCACGATACTGAAGGGAAAGAGAAAGAAAAGCAGCAAGAGAAAGAGAAACGAGAGAACGGCCCCATGGATCGAGTAAAACAGGTAGCTGCGCAACAGGTGCTTCTGCCTATGAAGTGGGGAGTCCATCTCTGTACAATTTACTGAGGGCCGGGGGCAGCAGTGGAACGAGTATGCGAAATCAGTGGGGGACTCCGGCATTCCTTCACCGTTTCAGAGCTGACCGTATTTCTCATATCTAGCCTAGAAGTATTGCGACGAATATAAGCTGCAGGCGTGTAAAGAAATGATTCTTATATGGATTGATTTTTATAAGCGTGCTATTGATACGGATACGGTTTTTCAAGAATAATTTCAAGTGTAATCCTTGAATGAACGGTATTTGTGAATAGTATTACGTTTGGTAAAACGTGTTTAAGGAAATGATAATGCAATGATTTAACATGCCAATTAGACAAATTAATATCGATACATAAGCAATTAAGAAATAAAAATTTCTTTTTTTAATCAATAAAAAAAAGAAATATAGTATAATTATTAGTTTATGATTAATTTGATGTAGATGCTACATGAAGATTACTGTTAATTAATTTCTAGATTATTAGCCGAAAAATACATAATGTTTGAAAATTACCGTAAAGCACAATCAATATCTAATTATAAATTTTCTAAAATTAATCAATGATCAAACTTTATTAGATATTCGCTCAGCAAACTTAATTCTTTGAAGTGTATTATAATGGCAATTTCTACATGATTCTTCTTAATTTATACGCATTAGATCTTGGTCGAAAAAATTCTGAAAATTCTGAAACAAAAGGATATAAATTATAATCTAAAAAAATTTATTATTTCGTTTTCGTTTCAGAAATTAAAATTTAATGCATGTAGAATGATCTTTAATATTAAATAATTATGAAAATAATATTAAATAATATTAAAAATATAAAAATTAATATTAAGTATTAAATAATTATTAGATATTAAATAATTAGAAAATAATTAGATATTTAATTATGAAACTGAAAAATGTGCATTAAAAAAAATAGTTAATAAAAAGATAGATTCAGATATGTAGTTAAGAATTTAGTATATATATTGCTTATTTGTAATTTAAAAATAGTATGTCTGTTAAATGAATTATTAAATTGTTACTAAGTTAAACTTGGAGTATAGA